CTAACAAATTCAACTGTTCCAGGCATTAGGACCTGGATATCCTTGGGAGGCCATGAAAGTGCCGCCTTGGTCCCTGCTCCTTGGGCCTCGGGAGCAGCCCTGGTTACCACGCTGTCCTCTCCTTCTGGTGGTTTGGTTCTGTAGTTCTCTAAATACGCCAACATATTTTCTTTTTGCTTAGCCAGAGCCATCCTCTGTAACTTGCAGCTAAGGGCATCTTAAGTGAAACGATAGAACTCTTTGGGCTTCGCTAACTGGCTTATGTAGTCCATACACAGCTTTAAAGACCTATAAATATCAACACGGCAACAACCCCCAAGTTTAACCAAGATCTCTTGGCTAACCTTGAGTCTGATATATACAACTATCTAACGACTGGACCCCGTTGGCCACCTACTAGCACATCACACTTAACATGTCCGACACGAATTTCAGACACCACCACCAACCCCCCGCACACAGACCAGCACTGTTTCACCCCAAATCATCTCCCCATTTCAGAAAATGGTAACTCCATCCTATCAGTTGCTGAGGCCAAAATTCTTGAGTTACCCATGGCTTCTCTCCTCTCATACCCTACATCCAGTCCAATGGGAAATCCCATTGTTTCTACTTTCAAACTATATCAGCATCTGACACTTCTCACCACCCTGATCCGAGCCACCTGAATTACTGCAGAAACCCCTCACAGGCCTCCTGGCTTCTGATTCTGTCACCCTACAGCCTGTTCTTAACATAATTCTCTTTTTTTTTTATTTAATAAATTTATTTATTTATTTCTGGCTGTGTTGGGTCTTTGTTGCTGCATGCGGGCTTTCTCTAGTTGCGGCGAGTAGGGGCTACTCTTCGTTGTGGTGCATGGGCTTCTCATTGTGGTGGCTTCTCTTGTTGCGGAGCATGGGATCTAGGCACGTGGGTTCCAGTAGTTGTGGTTCGCAGGCTCCGTAGTTGTGGTGCACGGGCTTAGCTGCTCCGCGGCATGTGGGATCTTCCCAGACCAGGGATCGGACCTGTGTCCCTTGCGTTGGCAGGCGGACTCTTAACCACTGCGCTACCAGGGAAGTCTCTGTTCTCAACATAATTCTTAATAGAAGAACCCTAAGTGAGATTGCATCACTCCTCTGCTCAGATCCTCAGAGCAAACGCCCAGCTCCTCACTATGGCTAAGTAATCTGGTTCTGGAATTAGATCTGATCCCCAGGGCCCTGATCACCTCATCTCCAGCCCTCTCCCTGGCTCCACACCAGCCCCACTGGCCTCCCTGCTGCTGCTCAAACACGCCGGCACGGTCCTCCCTCAGAGCTTTCACACGTGCTCTTCTCACCAATACACCCCTGTGCCTCACTCCCTGGATTCATTCAGGGCTCTGCTCATAGTCTAGTACCCGAGAGGCCTTCTCTGATTTCATGTCTAAAATGGCCACCACCCCATCCTGCGACCCTATTCTGTCACCCTGCTCTGTGTCCTCCTCACTACGTGTCATCAGCTGGCATATCCTACACTCATCAGGCTGGCATCTGTTTCCTTCCAGGTGGATGTAGGCTCCCTGAGGACAGGCTCTTTCTTTTGTTTACTGCTGTCTATTCAGAGTATGCCCTGCACAAGGACCTGGTGAATGAATGAAAAACAATGCCCAAATTGCAGTCAGAACTTTGCTAGTTTTTCATTCAGCCTTTCTCATATGAATGTGAAGCAGCTCAGGTGCCGCGACTCTTCTGGAAATGATGAATTTCTGCTATTTTTCCTACACAGTCTATTCTTTTTTTTTTTTTTTTTTTTTGCGGTACGCGGGCCTCTCACTGTTGTGGCCTCTCCCGTTGTGGAGCACAGGCTCCGGACGCACAGGCTCAGCGGCCATGACTCACGGGCCCAGCCGCTCCGCGGCACGTGGGATCTTCCCAGACCGGGGCACGAACCCGTGTCCCCTGCATCGGCAGGTGGACTCTCAACCACTGCGCCACCAGGGAAGCCCTACACAGTCTATTCTTCATTCAACAATATGCAGCGAAGAACAAGGAGCCCCTGACAGGGTGCCGCATTCTGCACATGGTCATCACCCCTGTGTCTCTCGCTGCCATCCACCCTGTGCTAAGGTAACTGATGATCCCTATATCGAGATAATTTCTGTCTCCATCTCCCACTAGACCTCTGAATTTAATAAAGTCCATGCCTTAATTGGAAGGCCACATTTGCCTTCTCTTTGTCAAAAATTTCTGAAGACAGGGAGCAACAGACCTAATACAGAAAGGATAAACAATGCACATGCAGGGATGCTCACTGTTGACGAGGGTGTGTGTGTGTGCGCGAGCCTGTGGCTCACGGCAAACCCAGGTTAACCTATAGCATTTCAAATTGAAACCTGGTGTTCTAAAAAGGGAGAAAAAAAGTTGAAAGCAGTGTAAGGAGAAAATACAGCAAAAGCACGAAGAAGGTTCAGCAAAGTAAAGTGAAAAGAAGAATTGGCCTGATGCAGAAGAGAGCATGAGATTTATAGCCAGACAGACCTGGGTGTGAGTCCCAGCTCTGCCATTTGTCAGCTGTGTGCCCTTGGGTGGGTCATGTAACATCGCCAATCTTCAGTTCCGATGGCTAATTATACCTGCCTCAGAAGGCGAATGTGAGGATTACAGAAGGTATGTTTAGAGTAGCACTCAATAAATAACAGCTGCTGTTACAATTATTAATAGACTATTCAACTAATTTTTCAAGTTGAGGAACATTAAACTTACTGTTTCCCTTGAAAATGAAGAAAAAGCCTAAAGCTCACAGTTTTAAGGTCATGAGATAATATTAAAAAATACAGGGGTGGGGTGGCAAGATGAGGTTCTCCCTCCCCATGACAAAGGTACGTCTCTCCCCTGTGTTAGGGAGCTGACTTCAGGCTAAAAGCAGGAGGAGAGGCTTGACCTGTTTCGACAGGTGCAAAACACTTTGAGCCAGACGTTCCATTTTGAAATGATACCTGGTGGCACAGAACAGAGCTAATGCCATCTGAGTTCTGTCTGCCAACCGTCTGGGCAGAGGCAATGCATAAATGCCCTTCCATCTGATGTCCAAGCTGAACTTTATTAGATGTGTAAAGTAATACGTCTTTGAATGATGCATAAACTTGTGGAGAAAACCATGCAAGTGCTGATTTATGGTATCTTGCACAGCAGGTACTTAAATAAATACGGGGGTGATGATGAGGTGGAAAATATGAAACTAAAGGACCTTGAGAAAGTGTAAATATCCATAATCAGCCTCATCTCATCTCTTAAATAAAAAAAGCTATACAGGCATATTATTCCACTGAGATTGGAGATTCATCAATAGCTTCATGGTTGTAAGCAGACCGTTTGTTTGCTATGACACTAAGTTAAAGCCCTACTAGCGTCTTTGCCTTATTAGCTCACCAGGAATTAAACAGTCTTTAGCAAGAACTTGCAAGTTAAAGAAAAACCAGCTTATAAAATTAAGAGTTATTTCATTCTGCATCCTTTTATACTTCTTGAGTAAATGTTGTCTCACGAACATAGCTAGACCACAGGTTAACAAATGAATTCCTCTGTAGTTGTACGCTGCTGAGTTAAAATAATCCTTCCACCGTTGACATTAGTTAGAAGCTCCAGTGTTTGAGAGGAAGCCTAATCCAATCTACCCACCCCTCCTTGTACCAACTCTTCCCCAGCACTCATCCCACCTTTGCCCAGCCACACTGTGCTCAACACTAGGACCTTCCAGAATATTTCACAAGAATCTCTCTCAGCTGCTTTTTTCTTTTCAGCCTAACAGTCTTCTAAGAGAATGAGAAATTGATCCTCGTCTTTGTTTCACCCCAACTCCAGAGGCATTTGTTATAGTTGGAATGAATATAAAGGTGGATGCATAAGCAACTTTTAATAAAATAAAGAAAAAGGATAGAAGTTATCCCATTTTTCCAACGTAATTTATATTTTTACTAGAATCTTAAAATATGGATTTTACATATTTCAATATTTCTCCTGTTTCCAATAACCAAAACAGAAACATTTGCTAAATAAGCTTACGAACTGTGTGGGCTCAAGCAGAGCTCTGACGCCCGAGTGGAAGAGCGGCGACACTGGACTCAGAGAAGGGACTGCACGGATGCTCAGATGGGGAGAAAGCACATTTGAAAACTGTTCAGCCAATTGCCTTCACATATCCTTTTTGGGGGAAAAAAAGCGCATTTTCTTCTCACAATTTTTTTTTGTCTGAGTGCAACCATCTGATGGCATAAATATTTGACGTCTAGCCCAAGCTTATAGCATTTCACAATTCTTTCAGAAACGTCCATCCTCAAAGTCTTTATACTCGGTATATTATCTTTAAATTACCTTGCAAAATGCCCACTTATAAAATATATACCAAATGTTCTTTTTAATCACTTAAAGCTCCAAATGCAGAAACTGTTTGGCATTAGATAAATATCTTAAATGCGAAATAGGCAAGAACACCTTGAAATAATGCTTAACTAATCACAAGGCAACTACTCTGCAGTAGATGCGTGAACCACTAATTAGACAAAAGGAAATAAAACTGTCATGGTAGGATAAAAGGATAGAGAGAAATAAGCAGCAATTACTGTTTTATCGTCAGAGAAAGTAGCATCAAACACGGCTCAGTAAGAGGGAAAAACCCCACAGCTCTATAAGTAAATACGAGCGCTCATTAAATCAGTACTTGGCGCTAAACACAACTCAGGATGAAAATGACATCCCAGAAGTGCATTCAAAAAAGGAAAAAAAATACCATAAAGAGTATGTAAAGGTGCTTTAGTTAGGCTATGCGGCATATTAAAGAATAATATCACATGACAATTTTCTTAAACTGCTTAAAAATTTCCAAGCCAGTCTTCAAATAGCTGTTTATTAAGGATTGAGGTAGGTCTACTAGACCAGGTTAGTCTTTTCAAAGTTTAATTGGTATACTTAATATGGAAATGGTACCAACAAGTGTAATGAGATGTATTTTAAACTTTAAAGTTTGGAACAACTTACATTCTGTTGCTTGGAATAATCTTGTGCCCTTCTCTGAACCAAGTCACTTGAGGTCTGGGGCAGCTGGCGATGGGCAGTAAGTTGAGTACAGCTGCATGTCCTTGAGAGACCATTTCTCTCTGATCTGTATCCATGAAATTTCCCATATCTGCAAAGAAAAATCAGACCTTCTAAGTTTCAGAAAATTCTTTTTTGAGGGGGTGGGAGGTCAAAGATGGAAATAACTATATTTTATTGCAAAGTCACCAATGTTGCTATAATTAACCAGTAAGACCAGAGGCGAGCAGTAATGCTGATGAGTGCAGACTGGGTGGTAAAGTGGAGCATAAGGCAAAGCCATGTGCCTCCAAAGTACCCACGAAGTGCGCGAATCAGCAGAACTTCATGGTCTTTGTGTCGCTGCAATAATACAATGAAATGTTTGCAACCAATTTTAATATTGAAATAAATTGTGGAAAAGCATCCTCATGCCACATGAAGCATTTTCCCAGAAATGATAATAAAATGATTTCAGACATCCCCCGGCTCCCAGATCTCTCCAGCTGGTTCTACCCAGGCACCCGCCGCTGTCCTGCTCAGTTTCTCCTTTTCTTTGTTTCTGGAGTGAATGCTCCCTAAAAGATCTTTTGGGAGAAATATTTAACCATTCATTAATTTTTAGAGGTTCTCCAAACCCCATACTACTGACTTAATTGGGGGCAGGTAGGTTTTGTTCCAGTCTTTGTGCTACTGGTTTACAACATTTAAAAAATGAGATCACAGGAAAAAAACCCCGGTCTTTAGAATGTGGGTATATGTGGCCAATTTTTAAATCAGTACCATTTGATAGTTTTTAAAAATTTCCATATTATGATTAGCTACAGATATATGTATACACACACTGATATGGCATATATACTACATTTTTGTCTGAATGCATATAAATTTGGAACAGTCCATAAAAGATCTCTGTTATCAACGGATTTGTGATCCAGAAGAAATTATTGACTATGTTACAAGCAGTGTTTAATAGCCTAGGAAAAGATGAAACAAATGAAACAGATTAGGAAAATATGCACGGTTATTTTAAAGTAAAGTGAAATTTGTTATCAGAGAGAAGGAGAAAAGAGATAAAATCTAGCGCTAGAGGTAAAGGATAGAAACAAGGATATTATATTAAACAAGTTATTAAATATAATAAATTCTAAGCTTATTCAAATATGTTTTGGGTATTGACCTTAATTTTTTATTTATGAATTATGTTTTCAATTATTCAATTGAATAAAAGTTCTGAATTATTCTGAAGACAGGTTTAGTTGAGTGACTTCACCAACACGGTTCAGAAAAATGTAAGCCTCCCTAGTAATTAAAACTATAACTAAACATGTATAGCAACAGCACCTTACCCAGTCACTAGTAATTACCGTAGAAAAGTAGAATAACTAGAAATTATTTTAATTTATACAGTAACACTGAAAACCACAAGCCTTAATGGGGGTCAAAATGACATATGAGAAAATATTGTCATCATTGGTTCACACACCCCAATTTAGGAGCTTTTTAGAGTTCTCTAAATCTATTATAACATATTTATATGTAATTTAAAATTTCTTAACACTTCTTGCTTTCTTTTAAATGAAGAGACATTTTGGTAGTAAATTCAAAATATAATAAAGCCTACAGGCCATTTTAGATGGACCCTACCCATCACAGATTTTGGACTAGGAAAGTATTAAATGTTTTGCATCAGCCAACTTCCCTCTCCACATCCTCCTGAAGACTACACCAAAATTCAAGGCCCCTGCATTCCGATATCCCCTCCAGTTACTTTTAAAGGTTTCATTCTCCACAATGGCCTGCCCAGTAGAGAATTAATTCACTACAGCATTAATACATGCTATCCACGTACTTTTTGTTGTGCAGCTGAAGGATTTCTAAACAAATCACTGCAAAGAATTGAATATGAATTGATAAAAATTTAACTAATTGGATTTAATCTTTTATTTTAAAAATATCTGAACCTGGATATGATAAAAGCTAAGAGCAGCTAACTCATAAAACAGAAGGCATCTTGCTCATTTTCTAAATCCTCAACAGAGCCTTATCTATTGAATTGAAAACAGTGGCATTTACCTCATTAGCCCCAGATCATCGTCAGACCAGCTGCATTAGCTATTCACTTCTCTCAATCGATTTTAGAAACTATACTATTCCAAATAGAACCCAAGATAGAAACTCGACTCCCACCGTGGTTAAAGTGATTTTGCTCAGTGTTTTGTTATTTAACATTTGTAGGTCTTTTCAGTGTTCACGTACATGCGACTTGAACTTCTGATCTTCTCTGCAAGAGGGCGCCCATTCTGTTTCGAACCACACAGCGGTAAAACCCAGCATCCAGCCTCTGTAAAGATGGAATAACATACCTGCCAAACACCAAAAAGCAGTGTTAATGGTTCCGTACCTAGGCAGCCAGCCTTGGCATCTCATCTAGTATACTTTGGTATCTAGTACCAAAAATATTTAATTTTTGATAAACTAATCTCTACGCAAGCTTTCCCTGACCTACACACTTACTGCTACTGCAATTGATTTGTGAGATTATTTACTTGCTATTTGTCTCTCCAACTAGACTGTAAATATCACATGAAGCTAGGTTCTGGAACTGTCTTGTTCACCATTGTACCCCTGTGCCATCACGTAGTATCAATAGATATCACTCAAAACTGCCTGAATGAATAAGAACTGTTAAATAGCTAAAAATCATTACAAGTAAACCAGACCTTTCAATGTTTTTCTTATAATTCTATCTCTCAGAATTTCTAAAAATTATTTCTAGAACTGGCAATGGTCTTCACATAATGTGTTGTGCCATTCTGCATCAAAGTTCAAACAATGCAGGATGAGACACAGGTGTCATTCAGGCAAAGCAAGCAGTGACATCAGGGCACAACTCTCCTCTCCAGTCCCCACAGCGAGCAGACATCTCCCAACACCATTTACACACTTTCCTTACTTCACATATGGCCTGACATGAACTTCTAAAACTTTTTTGATTGACTGGGAGGTTATTTCATTTGTATTTTCCATTCCTATGACTATAAGTAACCATCCCTCAAATCAATGCCTTTCTAAAAACGTCAGTAAATTTTATAGGGGGGACAAAGTAGCTAGAAAATACAGTTTCCATAAAAGCCCTGGTTTAGGTTTATGGTTAGTTTTTTTTGTTTGTTTGTTTTTTTTGCGGTACGCGGGCCTCTCTCTGTTGTGGCCTCTCCCGTTGCGGAGCACAGGCTCCGGACGCGCAGGCTCAGCGGCCATGGCTCACGGGCCCAGCCGCTCCGCGGCATGTGGGATCTTCCCAGACCGGGGCACGAACTCGTGTCCCCTGCATCGGCAGGCGGACTCTCAACCACTGCGCCACCAGGGAAGCCCTATGGTTAGTTTTATAATTCAGGATATTTTTAAATCCACGAACAAGCAGGAGGTACAACCGAGGACCACTTCATGTGAGTTCTGCAGCTCCGGAGCTCAACCCTTTCGTGCTACCTAGAAGAGTGCATTTAATTGGTTTCTAAGCCATATTCACCAAAAATGAAGAATAAGGGGCTTCCCTGGTGGCACAGTGGTTGAGAATCTGCCTGCCAATGCAGAGGACACGGGTTCGAGCCCTGGTCTGGGAGGATCCCACATGCCGCGGAGCAACTGGGCCCGTGAGCCACAACTACTGAGCCTGCGTGTCTGGAGCCTGTGCTCCGCAACAGGAGAGGCCGCGATAGTAAGAGGCCCACGATCAAGAGTGGCCCCCACTTGCCGCAGCTGGAGAAAGCCCTCGCACAGAACGAAGGCCCAACACAGCAATCAATGAATCAATCAATCAATAAAAGACTAAGGCTTGATTTTCACACATGGGAGGCTGCCTATCCTAAGAAAGAATAAGAGAGCTAAAACCCAATCAAATAGGAGCCTGCTTTCCAAAACAAAGAGAAAACACAGTGATGCTATGCTTTCTAAAAACATGTTCTGATAATAGTTATCTTCAAGTTAAAAATATTTCCTCTTACAAAGTATAATCAGAGAAACCTAGAAAAAAAAAAATCAGGTAAAAGGCACCAAGTATGGTATGCTTTATTTGCTCAGATCTTAAACATACCTTAACATCACTTATATCCAACTAATCGCGCCTCTTTTTATTCAAGTATGTCCAATTAGTCAACTGGAAAAAGGAACTGATAGGCATAATTTTTAAATGAATGAAACATTTGGACAATACAGGTAATTCAGTATTAAGCAAATATTAATCAGAGCGTGTTTACCCTCTGATAAACATCTTGAGATCTTACGAGCAAGATTAATAAAATATTTTATGAAAAAATACTGCTGAGTCTCAGTCTTCAAAATTTTATTCTATTCTGAGGAATGGTTTATCTCAAACAAAAAATTAATTAGTGCAGACAATCAGGGCAATACCAAACTGAACACAAAGAGTCAAAATGCCATTTATTTAAATTACAAATCAAGACTAGAAGGATGAGCAGCTTTGATTACACACTATGATTGTAATTAGGAGAGATTTTGACATTAGGTTAAAACAAAGTCAATAAAAGCTTTTGGGAAAGAAATAACACAAGTTATTGGAGTACATATTTGAAAAACTACAAGAGCAGTTTCATCATTGCAAGCTAACCACATTTATACGATTGTTATTCATTTCATTTTTCCTTTTTTGCAGTATCCTGAATAGATTTTATATTCTGTTTGTTTGTTTTGTTTTTTTTGTTTGTTTTGGTTTTGTGGTATGAGGGCCTCTCACTGCTGTGGCCTCTCCCGTTGCAGAGCACAGGCTCCGGATGTGCAGGCTCAGCGGCCATGGCGCACGGGCTCAGCCGCTCCACGGCATGTGGGATCTTCCCGGACCGGGTCACGAACCCGCGTCCCCTGCATCAGCAGGCGGACTCTCAACCACCGCGCCACCAGGGAAGCCCTAGATTTTATATTCTTATGAATTTCTATAGTAATCCTGTGTACTAATGCACAAAAACAGCACTGCTTTCAAACAACTGGGAGAAACAGATACAAAACTGAATATTAGGCATATGCTGTTTTGTACTGTCTCTTTAGTCTAATGTCTCACCAGGGAAAAAATATACAAAAAAGTGGCAAAGTACTCCACCTATTACAGGAATTCCTACACAAATTATGTTTACCCAACAGATGGGAATATTCACTGGAAGCCTATTGTTTATAAACACACATTTTTAAGCAGAGAAAGTTTCCTGGCTCCTTATAAGTATGATCAAATCCTAGCACCATATGCCACTCAAATATAGAAAATGCCTGCTCCTGTTTCAAATAAGCACAGCTGGGAATGTTTGTATTCACTGTTTCAAGGCAGAATCTACTAGACTAACAGAACCTTTTCCAGGGCTAGTTCATTATCAGGAAGAGCAAATTAAAGAAAATCAAACACAAAGTCACAACAAACCCAAGGGTTTAAACGCTCATTTCTGCTACGTAGGAGACTACCTCAGTTCCGAACTGCCACTCGGAATGGGCAACAAGAGCAACTCTAGAATTTCTCTAAGAAGCAGTTTTAGGTCCATTTCCGTCTGTGAACAATCGCTTGACTAGCCCCGCCTGGAGAGGATATCTGACATTTTTTGTGTGCCTGGGGTCTGCACCATGTTCTTAAATTTGCAGGGTTCTCCACCATGAGTTCTGGTGGAGGCGGACCCCTACATCAGCAGGGCACAGGAATGAGACACCACAGGACCACTGCACACACGTGCGCTGGGCTTCCAGATCTGGGGCTGGCGATGCACAGGGGCAGGGCTAAAGGAGAATCTGTCCAACAGCAGCAGCGGTGGGGCGCCATGGAGCCCTGGACTGGGGAACGGTGCAAGTGTCCAGGGCCCATAGCGGCAGTGGCTCAAGCAGCGGCAACCAGGGTCCAGCAGTACCAGCAGCAGGACCCTGTGGGACTGGCTCTTGGGGCAACTTGGCTCTGATGGGCTCGCCTCCCTCTGGTCCTGCCCAATGTCCAGTCAGCCCAGTGACTGTAAGAGCAACCCAATGTCCAGGTGACAACTTCCTTTTTTGTTTCAACGAGAGAGGGCTTGTTTGGCTTGTCCTAGAACTCCCCAGAATGTAGCCAAAATAACTTTGGTTGAAAAAGCTTCTGAAGTTACTAGGTACTCACCATGGTCACAGAAAAACCCAAATAACGCCTCACTGAATCATCTCTTTTTTAAAAATCATGGCTTCCCAGCTAACCACTAAGAATCATTAAGTGGTAAACAGTCCCCCCAAAACTGAGACTAATTAATCTTTTATAAGGAGTATTCCTGCCATGAGCCACTGAAATTTTAGAAAATGTCTGACAAAATACTATCTGCTTTGGAACAGTTACTGTTGAGCAGTTCTTCCCAACAAGAGTTAAATGCTCTAAGCACACAGGTCTACAGAGACCTGTCACAGTTCAGAATAACGAAACCACATCTTTGATATAGAACAGAAAACCCATACTTCTCCCTCTAAGGTCAGTGGACATAACTCGATCCATGAGAAAGAATTTTCATGCCCATTAAAATTAGATATAAGATTTTTTTCTTTTTTTGGGGGGGGGGGGTCTACATTCATTTTATGCCACTCCAGACAAGACTATACCCCACAGCTTTAATTTTTTAAAAATTAAAGTATGAAGATATCTATTCTGGTATGAAAGTATCTATTCTGCATGAAAATAAACAACCAAGTTCTATAATAAACTTTCATATCTTGGCCCAAAGCCCATTATTATCTTTAAAGTGAAAAAAGGTTTAAGAAAAAAAAAAAAAACAGAACTAAGCCCTTTATATCCTTCTTGGAAGGATAGGTTTTCTACTTTTCTTAGAAAAGAAAAGGAAAAGAAAAGAAAAGTAGAAAACCATCCTATTTTTGGAAACAAGATTACAAATAATTGTATTTTCAATTTCATTTTTATAAATTTCCTATATGAACATTTAAAATACAGCAACAGTCAAAAGTGGAATGAGTCCAAGCGGGCTTTTGCCACAAGCAAAGAGTGAAATGAAACATCCAGACTGACACTTGTTAACAAAGAGACGGACACGTGTCCAGCTCACTAACAGGTCTTAGACGTTAAGCAATTGACGGTTATGCTTTGAATCCTTTCCAAAGAGTTACAGTAATCAGTATGAAGTTAAAGTAAACGGCATAATAAAGATGCAAGTTAGCCGACAGGAACATCATACTCACAAAAGTCCTTTAATCTCTGTTTCATTTACTTAAAATTCTGCATTAAGTTGAAAGAGGCAATAAACAGGTCCCTGCTGGGGATGGGCTAAGTAAGCATCTATGGAATCTGTCTGGGAATATAAATCTGGGGACTGTAAGCCCTCCAGGGATCAACTGCATGCTGGGTATC